GATAGAAAGACATTGGCAAACTCTTTAAATTTGGTGCATTCGAGCACTATGCTGCCACTGTAGCGCTGCTAACACCTCTACTGCCTAAGAACGTGAAGAGCACACCGCCATCACCACCACATTGCAAAATCCCGGGACACTTTCCATGGATGGATGTGGTATCATCATCATCCATCGCAACATGGTAACCTATGCTCATATCACATCTTGCATTACTGTCTTTCCTCCTACATGTGCTTTGTTCCCCTTAAGTCACGAATAAATAATAAGTAAGTGCAGTTCTATAACAAAAAACCCACTTCAAATATATAGCAAAGAGTATAACAATTGGAGGTTGAACTCCATCTTGAAATCATATATCCTTGATGCTACCGTACTATAGTGAGACATGTTTAATGCTCTACTTTATTTCCGGATCCACCTTCACCAACCATAGCATTCTAAAAATGAGATCCACATAATAGATATCTATTGTGAATGTGATTTCGGTATCAAAAGTTACTTGTCGGCCAATTCTTACAGACACTCTTTCTTTACTGCCACGACGGCAGGAGGTCGGTATTGTTAGACCCTTTATTAGTCCCTATTGTGCTAGTGGAGTTAATTGGGCATTTCGAGTGTACTTAGACTAGACGAGCATAAGGACAGAATTTCTATGTGTTATTAGCTAAGCATATTTAGCATAGTAAGGAGTTCCCGTTTCATTATATCTTGCATTGGCTAGTGACAAGAACCCTCATATATTGAGACTAGTCCTTCAATATTGCTAGATGATAGCTTACCGTGTTTACTAAACACCCTCACTATCATGCACTTTGTGTTAGTCTCACTTCGGTCTTAAATGCTATTTATGGAGAGTGTCTAGATTTACTCATTTGGTATATCTATAGAATGTAGAGATTGTCTTGAACACAATGGTGTTCATCCCATGTCCAATTTCGCAATTTAAGGATATTCCATATTTAGTAAGTTTCAAGCTTGTCCCAGAGACTAACTCTTGGTACTAAGGGAGGCTTGGGGTGAAAGCCCAAAGTGTCTGTTCCTCAACAAACAATGGGGGGGGGGTGGGGGGGATATGGGGGGTTTCAAATGGATAGGTCGGGCATGGCTAACTAACGTGAGGTATAGCTAGCTTTTGTTTGCGTGTTTTCCCTTGTTTTGTGTCCAGTTTGGGTTTAAGCTCAAGTTCCACACCATGCTAGCTAGTGGAGTATTCATATCCTTGCATTAGGCCACTGATATGTCGAAATAGCACTAGACTCCATTTGGCTTTGTTTTGCATGTTGGTACTTGCATTAGGATATTGAATGCTCTAGGACTATTCCATGTCACTCTGTGCTACTATCCCTTCGCTCCTTAGGCTATATGCTTAGGAATTGCTCTGTGGTCCTATTCCGCCGCTCCTTAGCTCCATGCTTAGGAGTTTGGCTCTGTACCTTCATTCAATGGCCCAAGGCCTTGAAACTTGGGTTTCACACCACTGTCCTTGGATACGTGGCATGTGTCACGTGGCATAAAGAGGGTTTATGTTCCTCTTCGTGGCGTTATCCTATGGTAAATCATCATAGGATAAAGGGTCAAAACCACATACGCTACAATATCCAAAAAATAAAAAGTATTTAAGAATATGGTTTTGCCAAAGAACACTTATAGCCCTATAACACAAGTATTAAAATATTATGTAGAAGTAGTTACACCTTCTACTATGTATGGAAAAACTCTACACTATACTCTTTAATAAACTTTACTAAAACAAAGTTGTTATCCTTCCCATTGTCTAATAAAATCACACTACATTGCCATAGAATACACTTTTTAGCATTGAATCTTGTGGAGTAATAATAATCTATATATGAGTAAAAGTTGTTTTCCATTATAAGCAAGAGTTATGGTCGTGTGTATTTGCTATAGATAGAAGAAAATATAGGAGTTGATTAGCAGCAATTTTTATTGAAGGGATTTGAAGCTTGATTTTCTCAACTATTGTAAGTTATACAAACTTTATTAGCAGGTAAATAGGAAAAGTTAGGGGCTTTTGTAACATTTATCTATTCCTCAAAGCCATTAATGTAGTATTTTTATGAACTTCATCACTTATTTGCCACAAATACATGAGTTATAGTGGATCAATTAATAAAGTATATGCAGTCATTGATTCTTCAGAAAACTTTCACTACCTAAAACTTGGCTATAGTTTATTTGGAGGTTTTTTCTAATTTTAATTTGTTAAAGGATATTGTCAGCGATTGAAACTCAAAGTTCACTAGTGGATTTTGGAAGAGCTTTGTGAAGGCTTGGTAGAGGATATACTATACTATAGCATTAACTAAAGACAAGGATAATGGAATTTATATATTTCATTAGTGCACTTATAATAATAGTCAGCATAATGGAACCAAGCTAAGGCTTTACTTTACCATTTTTAAAAGGCATTCTCAAATAGCATTGCATTTAAGCAAGGATGTTTAGGATAATTTTGATTTAGAGGCAATTAATCAAGCTATAAAACTTGATAAGATTTTGGTGGTATGTAAGTATAGGGTAAAGAAGTTTAGTGCCACTTTTAGGAATATAAATGTAAGCAACCAAAGGGAATGACTTGAGAGACAATCCGTTAGGGTTCAAATATAGAGGGAAAGGGCCCATGAATAAGAGTGCACCCCCTTTTCAATCGATTAAGGGTCTTGGGATATTTAGGGTAAAGGGTCCTTGGGTGTGAATAGTACTGGGTTGGGTGACCTCCCGGAAAGTTTAAACTCACAAGCTTACATTTGGTATATTAGAGGGGTCTTGGGTCCAACCTCACAAGCTTACATTTGGTATATTAGAGGGGTCTTGGGTCCAACTCTATTAGTTGGCTAAGGGAATCACACCACATATTGATTGACATTTGGTTGGTCTAGTTTACTCTTGCTGAGCTCGACCGAGGGGTAGGGTGTCAAGAACCACATATTGATTGACATTTGGCTGGTTTAGTTTACTCCCGTTGGGCTCGACTTGAGGGGAAGGGTGTCAAGAAAGCGGGGCTCTCGGGAAAGCTGTAGCTCTCAGCTTCTGTTCACGAGGGTGTGAACTTGCAGGTGGCTAAGGGAATCACACCACATATTGATTGACATTTGGCTAGTCTAGTTTACTCTTGCTAGGCTCGACCGAGGGGTAGGGTGTCAAGAACCACATATTGATTGACATTTGGCTGGTCTAGTTTACTCCCGTTGGGCTCGACCTGAGGGGAAGGGTGTCAAGAAAGTGGGGCTCTCGGGAAAGCTGCGGCTCTTAGCTTCTATTCACGAGGGTGTGAACTTGCAGGGAAGCGTGATGGATTGTAAGCAATCAAAGGGAATGACTCCCGCTGGGCTCGACCTGAGGGGAAGGGTGTCAAGAAAGCGGGGCTCTCGGGAAAGCTGTGGCTCTCAGCTTCCGTTCACGAGGGCGTGAACTTGTAGGGAAGCATGATGGATTGTAAGCAACCAAAGGGAATGACTTGAGAGATGATCTGTTGGGATTCAAATATAAAGGGAAAGGGCTCATAAAAAAAAATGCACCCCTTTTTCCAATTGGTTAAGGGTCTTGGGATATTTGGGGTTAAGCATCCTTAGGTGTGAATAGTACTTGGCTGGATGACATCCCGGGAAGTCCAAACTCAAAAGCTTACAATAAAGTGGAAGATTTTATTTTTATGCAAGTGATCTTTTTGTCAAGTCACCAATAGAACATTTTAGTGCTTTTGTGGAGTGATAAACTTTCTCATAGATATATTAGTTTATATGAAATGTCAAGGTATATAGGTAAGATGGCTTATCAATTGCAATTGCCAGCTAAGGTGAAAATTCATTTGGCATTTTATGTCAACCAATTGAAAGGTGAATTGTTTTAAAGTGAAGAGTTTGATATATACAATTGTGGATGCTAGACCAGGAGCTTCTATAGTGTTCTTCAAAAAAAGTGATTACCTATAGAACTCATTATTGGGATAAAGACTTTATTTGGTGGGAGGAAGAATTGGTAGGCACAAACTTTAACCATATTTAAGTTGATCTTAATAAATTTATGGCTGTTTCAAAGTTTTTTACTTTGAAGTGTGTGAACAATATACATTACTTCCTTGGCAAGGTGCAATATCTTTGTCATTTTGTTAGTCATCTTTCTAATGGTATTACACCATTGCAAATATTATTGAAGTTGTCAACATCATCTTTCATCTTCTCTGAAGACTATGAAAGAGCATTTATGAATCTAAAATAATTATTAACATATGCATGGATTCTTTTAATATTATGTTGATGCAAGAGCATAAGTGTATTTAGTTAGTGTTATCCTATATCATATGTATATTGCAATTAGTAGAGGTGAACTATTCCATGACAAAAGAATATTTAGCCGTAATTTAGAGTTTCAAGAAGTTTCATTCATACTTGCATGGTTTTTGAACATTGCTAGAAGGTGATCATTATTGAAGCAGAAGAATTTAATTGGTCGTATTGTTTAGTAAGCTTTAAAGCTTAAGATATATGATTTCAAGGATTAAGTAAAAAGTTTTATGACTGATACTAACACCTTTTCTCAAGTTTCTCTCTTTTATTCGGTCTTTTCTCATGTTCATAACAAGTTTGTTATTTCAGCATCAGTGGACTTTTTAAATAAGAATTCCATAATGTTAGCAGTTGCTATATTTGATATTTAGTTTCTATAAAATATAGTCTTTTGATGAAGTTTGTGAGGCTCAAAATGTTAAACTATGGTTTTGATTAATGACTTGCTATTTCAACATTCAGATGCCTTAAAAATGATTTTCTTTGCTTTATAAAAATTGATCATGATGATCATTTGCAATTGATAACTATATGATAGACTTTATATGCCCTTTTTGGTTGAAAGAGAGATTGACTCATCTACAGTACTCTTGCTCCATCCATATTCGTTTAATCTAAGTTTTAGGACTAACCTTTAGACACATTCAATTAATCTGTAATAATCCCCTTGTAAGCTAATATTATTTGACCTGGTGATTCATTTTCACAGCACTACAAGGATTGAGAGAAAAGCATTGAATTTGTGTTCTTTCCTATGTACAAGCCGGTTTCGGGTCGGTCACTGAGGGGAAAATTGTGGAGTTTCGCTGTACCTGTCTTACACCTTTTGTTGTTCTCTAATGTACAGACGAGCGAGCGAGCGAGCCAGAGATAATAGAGTCATACCTCGAAGAGCTTCCCAGCGCTTGATCACAGCGACAGAGCAAAGTTGACGTCCTCAGCTCCCAATCCTCCCGCGTCCTCCACTTTGATCCACGAACTTCCAGTCTTCCTGTACTGCGGGACCGCCAGCGAGAGCGTGAGTGGGCTTTGATCCTCACCTCCTCCAGGCAACGGAGCTCCGGCCTTCTTCTCCCGCTGCCTCGTCTCCAGCTTGTCGAAGAGCGAGAGAGGCTCCACCGAGGGAGCCAGCTCCAAGTCGAGTGCTCCCGCTCCTCCTCCCTGGCTCTCCCTCCATGGATCCAGCTCCCTGAGACCCGACGCCTGGCTGGCTGGAAAGAGCTCCTGCGTTTTATCCACCTCCGAGCCCAGGAGAAAGTTGTGGTACAGCGGTGACTCGCTGCCTTTGGCCTTAGAAGCTTTGGAGCTCTGAGCTTCGCTGGAATCCAGAGAGTCCGTGCTTGACTTCGAGCGATGTTTTCTTCGTCCTGGAGATCTCGACCGGGACCTGTAGCGTCTTCTAGCTGGAGAACTGGACCTGGAGCGTGATCTGGAGCGAGCGAGCCTACCGGACCTGCTTCTTTTGAGTCCTTCTCTTCTATCCCTCTCCCTCTCTCTGTCTCTATCCCGCCAGTCTCTTTCTCGATCTCTATCCCGTTCTCTGTCTCGATCTCGTTCCCGTCCCCGGTCTACGTCCCTGTAGCCTTTGTCCCGGTCTATGTCCCTGTAACCCTTGTCTCTCCGATCCCTCGCATCACGCTCTCTATCTCGGTCTCTAGGACGATCGTGACGATCGGTCTCCTTATCACGATCCCGCTCGCGATCTTTTTTATCCTTATCCCACCGAGATTGGCCGCGTTTCTCTTTCTTGGAACTGGGAAGCTCCTCCAACGGTCTTGGTGAGCCACTCTAAATGACAATGATTAATAAAAGTGCAGCATTAAACGAGAAACAAGCACCTTTTCCGAGCGTTGCGCCTCTATTCGGTTCTCTTTTGCTTGAGCAGCTGGTTCCTGCAATGGCAGCTTCGGAGGTCTTGAGGACAAGTGTAAGGAGATACAAACCTTCTCAATGTCTAAGCCTGACGATGCAACAGTTTCAAATCCTGGAGGCAGTTCATCCATCGGTCGCTTGATCGACGGTTGACTGGAAATCTCAGATTTCTGAGGCTTCGCATTTTTATTGTTTGGTTCCTCAATCACTGGATTACTCTTCGTCATTGTCGTTGGGGCGGCTTGCAGGGTGACAGCTTTTCTACCTTGAAAGACCCCCCAGAGGTACATTTTATTCCGCCAAACTGAAAGTAAACGTGAAACTATTAGACCTCTCGTAACAAAACAAAGCGGACCAAACTTACGATTAAAGGCTTCTGCAAGCCGAAGTGAAGGAATTATCAGCAGTTCTGCACCTTCCACAAAACTTTTCAAAACAAGATCTGATTTCACCATACGGTCCAAAAGTTGGTTGTATTGCGTTGGATAACTGGCAAATTTTCAGTTGTTAATGAATGACAAATTAAAAAAAACCCGACAAACCTTCCGTTGTCCACAGGAAAAAAATATAACGCGATATCCTGATCATTGGGGGGGTTGGTCAGGAACTTCTTCGGCCACGCAGAAGCTCGCTCGACTTCGTGAAGTTTTAACGGAGACGATAATAATTTCGACGCTTCCAAAACCTTGGGTGCTGCTTTGTCCGATGGATGAGCTTGTATACCGTCGTATGACGAAACACTCCCTTTGGCGGAAACCTCAAAGCTTCCGCTGTAAAATCGAACCATCAGTGATAATAGACCAGAACTTAAGAGGCATACCTCCACAAGACATTGGCTGTAGGCACAGCTGGTGAGGCTTCTGGTCGAATAGAAGGTGACGGTAGAATCTTAGTTCCCGTGGGCGTTGAGATGGAAGGGACTTCAGGAGTGGATTGCATGATCTGTCCCAAGATCGCCTTAACGTTGGCTTTCTCTAAACTTGGAGTAGTCTGTTTTGATGCACTGCCGATTCTCGCATTTGTATCATCGATACTCGGAGAAGGATCCTTTGACAAAGCTTTCACGGTGCAAGATTGAGCTGAATGACCGATTTCCTTGCATTTATAGCATCGTGATGTGTTGTCACTTGACCATGGATCCGATACGGCGTTTTCAGCTAAAGGAGCTGGTTTCGCAATCTCTGCAGAAACTATCAAGTCAAAACAATGGTATAACGTTAACAATCTTATTACCTTCTTTAAATTTCGACTCTCCGGCATTGTTGGGGACGGTAGGCACGACGGTAGGCCTCGGTGTGTCAGGCCGAGCTGCGAAAGATTCAATAAAATAAATGAGATGAACACGGTTAAATATTCTCCTAGCAATTACCATCTTTCACACTGGGATGCACGGCCGCAGGTCTCGGTGTGTCAGGCCGAGCTGCAAAAGATTCAATAAAACAAATGAGATGAACACGGTTACATATTCTCCTAGCAATTACCATCTTTCACACTGGGATGCACGACCGCAGGTCTCGGTGTGTCAGGCCGAGCTGCAAAGACAGAATAAAACAAATGAGATGGGCACTGTTACATGGTCTCCGGGCAATTACCATCTTTCACACTGGGAGGCACGACCGCAAGTCTCGGAGTGTCAGGCGGAGCTGGAAAGACAGAATAAAACAAATCAGATGAGCACTGGTGCATAGTCTCCGAGAAATTACCATCTTTCACACTGAGATGCAAGACCGCAGGCCTCGGCGCGTCAGGCAGAGCTGCAAAGACAAAATAAAACAAATGAGATGAGCACTGTTATAGTCTCCGAGCAATTACCATCTTTCACAATGGGATGCACGGCCGCAGGTCTCGGAGTGTCAGGCCAGGCTGAAAATCAAGTTAGTAACTTCGTCACATGTATATTGCTAGAAATTACCATCTTTTGCAGTGGAAACTCCGACTGTAGGTCTTGGTGTGTCAGGCCTGGCTGTAAATTCAAAAATTTTAGAACTGTTATTGACTTCGAAGCTCCCACTTACTTACCATCTTTTGGTTTTAGAATTTTGGAGTCTCCATTTTTGTTTGCATCTGTCGCGGCTCTTGATGTATCCAGCCAAGACTTATTTTCTGCACGTTGCAAAACTCATTAAAGAGAAAATACACAAGTCAATCAAGAATACCTTCTTTAGATTTCACTAACTCCGCAACTGGTTTTGGTGATGTTTTTTCTCGTTGTTGAGCTATGAGTTGAGTTGGCCGTTCGCTAGCTTTTGGTCCCCTTTCAGATGGTGCTTTGCTGGTTCGCAAAAACGGAAGAGGAGGCTTCGCAATAGCTGGCATGGGCGATTTCCCTTTTAAAACGCCGAGTTTTCCCGGCTTGCGAGGTGGGAGAGGCTTAGCTTTTCCCACAGTTGGACTTTTGATGGCCTTTTCACTGTCGGCATCGCCAGACTTCAGTTTTGAAGGCGTCAGCGCGTCAACTTGTGGCAGCTTTGATGAGGCACCTTGGGCAAGGTTGGGCTTTACACCATTCTCGCGACTTTTACACTTGCAAGATTCGCATAGCCACTCTCCCACGGGCATCTCTACAAGGGGTGTCTCCATACAGTATCTGAAAACACGACAACCCCATTATAAGCCATCAAAAACCAGGTGCCAGCTTACGTATGCTCCGCGCCTTCGCTGCAACTAGTGCACACAGCGAGCCTGTCCTCATATCCGGCATCCCCGCATATGTCACAAACTTTAACCTGCAAAAACCCAATAAGAACACCAGAAATAAGGAAGAAAAGAAAAGACAACTCACATCCTCCACATCCGTTGCTTCGCTAGCTTTCTTAGTCGAAAGCTCTTCAGAGCTTTTTGCGTCGTCCACTGGTTCCCCTTCGTCCTTGGTAGCAGGAACATCCTCGTTTCCAGCCACAGTAGTAAGAACTTTCCTCCTTTTTCTCTTGGGAGAGCCAGGAGAAGCGATGGTCGATTCGTTCTCCTTCATAGTGCCCAAGGCCTGATCCTCCGCATCGCTTACCACTGGAGGAAATGCTCTGGAGTCCCAGGGGACATGGCTGCTTCCAGCCGATCCATCCCCTCCAAGTTCCTCCAATGGCTCCTCCCTGTTGGTCTCGTCGGGATTTCTCTTGTAGTTATCGTCTAAAAGTCTTCTTCGTTTAGATGGTTTTGAGCTCGTCAAGTTGGTCCCGGAAATCCTTTTGCTGACCTCACTTTGCGAGACAAACACCTCTGGCGGCTCCAGCTTTGAGTCGCTATTCTCATCGGCTCGTGAGTTGTCGATCATATGAATGAAAAAACGATTTTCTTCCGAAATATCCCCTTACCCTGCAGCAAAACAACGTAAATCATCCGGAAAGATCTCAAACGCTCAACGCATCGATCGATCGATGCATCCAGAGGAGAAACACCAATTCCTCCATCGACTGACCTGATTCTCAGCTCCTCGCCCTTGCCCGCCGCTGGCGGCAGCTACTGGCGCCGCGCACCCGTCCACATTCGCGAATTCGGCGATGCCCTAGCGCTCCCTCTCTTGCTGCGCCGCTGCCTGTCCAATCGTTTCCGCCAGTTTTCGGCGCAGCGCGCGAGGATCTGGCGCAACGGGGCCGTGGATGGATTGATCGCGCGCTCCTCTCTCCGCCTCTTCGTCAAGCGCCTTAGGGATCGTCGACGACACAAATGCACTGAAACCCTCTATTTATTAAAAGGGTTTAGCCCTAGCCTGGTATATTCCTCGAGGCTCATTGTAGCATATTCCGTCAGTCAGTCCTACCAAAAAACCAAAACGTTTCTCACGAGAATTGCCTGATATTCGAGACAACAGATGATACCATCGTCCAAACTGCAAGGAAAAAAAATAAAAGAAGAGAAGTTTAGCTTTTTTGTTCTTGGTTTTTTTTTTTTTTTTTTCAGCTTACTATACACTCCAGCGGCGAGCCATTCGTTTGTGATCTTCACCCACACGCTCGCCCAACCAACGTCGATGCTCCATCTGCGAAAGAGTTTTTAGTTTGGAGAGATTCACGACGTAACTTACTTGAGCATTGTTTGATGAAGGTTCCAGCCGACGAAGAGCATGGCGAAGTACATCGATCCCACTGCAAAGACGAAGTGGAAGAACCCGTAGCTGTATGGAACTCGCTTGATCTCTTGGTTTTCGGGATCGGGGGTCGGGTTTGCTGGCTGTTATTACAAAAACAAGTGAAAGAAGTCCGTGATTGAACTTTCTTACCACAAAGGGATTGGAGTCGGCTCCTGTAGAAAATGTGGCGAAAACAATGGCGACGAGACCCATAAAGAAGCTCTGGAGGAGTAAAAGAGTGTGGTTTAGTCAGCGGAGAATAGCTTTAAACGTTTTTCACATTACCAGCACAGTTAGAAGGTCCGCTTTCCCGGTTTGTCTCGGCCTTGTGTTGCACACTTCGGATCGCGGCTCGCTAAGTTTGCAGTAAGTTAGTTCTCTATCTCCTTTAATTTCTTGTTACCTCATAATGGCCGACCAGCACAGAAAAACAATGTATAGAGATATAAGGCCAGAAGTCATGAGCCCAGCGCTAACCTGAAAACAAAATCATGTAACTTGCGGCGCTTAGTTTGTACTTTACTTAACCGAAAACTTACTTTCGGGTGAAGAGAGACGAGCGTCATTGTTAACAGCAAGACTAAAGTCCAGGAAATGAAGAAGATGTTGAGGCTGCACGATGGCTTGGGCGCAAACCAAACGTACATAATCACCAATCCAATAAGGCAGAAAACGTACGAGAGGGTAGTCACTATCAGCATTGGAAGAAAACTGGGAAAACGTAGACAAAGATGTCAAGTAACAATCAGCTTTCCGTGAAAGAAAACCATGACTTTACCAGCGCCGAGAATTTTCGGGAGCAAGCCACTTTTCGTTCCACCAGTAAGCGAAATTCACTATGCTGAAAAGTTGTATGACGAGAAAAACTCTACACGCAGACAAAAACTTGATCAGATCACGAGGTACTTCTCGTTTGGAACACATGAGAAAGAGGCTTACCCAGCACCGAATCTCGCAATTTCGCCTGGAAAAAAAGAAACCTCTGTCACTCAAGGACGTGCATGATTCACGAAGCTTACCATATACTTTGATGATGGCTGGTGGAACGAAGAAAGGCAATATCATCAGCAAAATCCACAAGAGAAATTTCAAGGGCCACCACCCACAGTGCCACCCATCTCTCAGACCTCCAATTCTCGAAGTTCCTACTGTTGTGACGAACATGATCGCAAAAAACACCTGGTTGCAAAGAAACTTTTTAAGGAACAAAGTAAGTTTTCAGCTATGGATAATTCAAGGATACGAAGCAGCCAAAACTTAGGCGAAGAACACCTTCCGAGGCCAAGCAAGTGTGGACTCCATAGCAGCCTTGAAAATCTGCCAGAAGAAAAGATGAGAAGCTCCTCATCGATCGATCAAAAGATCATTAAAAAAGACTTTACTTACGCCGCAGTGTGCTGAATGCCTCTCTACTGTAGTCCCGGACGACCCACGCGATCAGATTTGTGAAAAGGAAGATGATCGCATAGATATATCGCGTGGGCATTTGGTTCGCTCCAGCGCACGAGCAGCAAAAACACCATGCCATTGTTCTTGGAAGTGGAAAATAGCGAACAGGACCAAAAAAAATTCCCCTACAAACAATGAAAAATCCTTCCCGAAGGTCAAAGGCATGCCATGCAGCACCAAATGCGAGCTCACCAATTCGAGAATGTGGAGCTCCGCGCCGAATTCTCACCTCGCTCGATCGATTGTCACTCGCCCCGAAATATTCTCGAGCGCAATGGCCGATCGATCGCGCCGCGGCGGTAGCAATGCAGCGCCATCGCCTGATCGATCGATATCGAAACACGCCGCCAAGCCTGCGCGAGCGCCTCCTCGCCCCGCTACGCCAAACAAGAAAGAAGCTAGACGACCAAGTAGTCCGTCCCATTAACGTTTTCCATCCAGCAAATAAACGATTCCCAGGGAGGTATATTCCTCCTTATGGGTTTTGGCGCGAAGTTTGAATTTCCCATTCTCTAGGGTTTATGGCGGCGGCGTGGTGCTCCACGCCGTGCGCCATGGGGATCGACGAGGCCGGGCGCGGCCCAGTTCTAGGTTTGTGCCAATCTTTCCTACTAGCGCTATGAATCGATCGAAATGCCGGCGATCGTTTGGTTCTCTTCGACAGGGCCGATGGTCTATGGATGTGCTTACTGCGCTGTGGCGTACAAGGAGGAGCTAGCGAGCTTGAAATTCGCAGGTATGAGGTCTGGATTCTAGTTTCTCGCGCGATGGAGGTTGAGATTTTTCGTTTTTGGGTTTGCTTGGTGGTCAGATTCCAAGATATTGACAGAGGGAAAACGAGAAAGGCTTTTCGAGAGCTTGAAGGAGGACCCATCGATGGGTTGGGCCGTGGACGTCATTGATCCGCGGGACCTATCAGCTCAAATGCTACGCAGGCAACGCGCTCTCATACGACTTTCTTGAATTTCTTTTTTAATTTTTTTCCTTTGGTTGCTCCAGAGTAAAACGAAGCCTGAACGACATATCCTATGACTCAGCCATTGGTCTCATCAAGCTTGTTCTTTCCAGAGGCGTGCTACTTTCCGAGGTCATCCTTTCTTTCCCGAAAAAATCATACACTAACTTGCGAGATGCTTGAAAAAGGTCTATGTCGACACGGTTGGAGATGCCGAAAAATATCAAGCGAGGCTTTCCGAGCTTTTCCCGCACATAAAGTTCACAGTGGCTAAGAAGGCCGACAGCTTGTTCCCAATCGTGAGTGCCGCTAGCATCGCTGCAAAGGTACATACGAAATCTAGTAGCTGTGTTTTTCTGAGTTTTTTTGTTTGTTTGGCTTCTGATGTGAAGGTGACAAGAGACCAAGCGCTGAAGTCATGGGTCATGGATGAGGCCGGCTGCACGATATCAAGAAACTTTGGTTCCGGCTATCCAGGAGGTACTAGTTTTCTTGACTGAGCGATATAAATCCTTTTTGATTTTTTCCAGATCCTGATACGAAGGCTTGGCTGGAGCAGCATATGGATGATGTATTTGGATTTCCATCGCTCGTGAGATTTAGCTGGGCCACCTGCAAGCCTCTCATCGCGGAAGGCGGTGTCCATGTTTACTGGTAAGAAACAAGCAGCCAATTCTAAATTCTCGTTTGACATCTAGGGAGGCTGACGAAGACGATGACACCGCACTTGTGAAAAAATCTCGATCTGCGCAAACGGAGTCGAGTGGAGCCCTGAGGCATTCCTTTTTCAGGTCAAGGCAGCTACAGCAAGTTACTACACGTCTTTAAGAGCGAGCGAGGTACGCGTTTTTCTCCAAGCTTTCAAAAGAAAGTTACTGTCACTCTGATATTGCAGGCCACCTACAGCAGCAGTAGTCACGTAAAACTTGCAAAGGAGTTTGAAAACTTGGCTTCCAAGTGTACCAACATCACTTCCAAGCCAAGGAAGAGAGCTCCAGAAAAAAAATGTAAGACAGGCTCTCTCGTTCGATCTAATTCTTCTTGGTGGCTCTCTTCATTCTCGACGAAATCACTGCTCGCAGGATCTTCACGTACCTCCTCAGCCTCTTTCGAAGCGCAAACCGGGTGCTGCTCTTGCCTCTCGGGTTTTCATCCTTGCGAACAAAGCGGTAGCTCTTCAAGTACGATCCCCTGGAGACAAATCCCTGCGACTCCCAAGAGAACTCATCGCTATCCTCTTCGTCCTCTCGATCACTACTACCGCGACTGCCACTGCCGCGATCACAGCTACTGGAACTGGAACTCATTCCCGAAAGAACACCGGAGCGATGCTTGGCTCCACGAATGCCATAGCAGATTGGGGTCATCATCTCCACAGCTTCGAGAAGAAATAAAACCCCCAGCAAGAAAAATAAAACGCCTCCCTGTTCTTGCTTCCAAGCTCCAAACTTTTTTAAATGGTACGAATATTCCGCCTCCGACCGGTCCGGAGCTCGAGTCCTGTCTCCAAAACTTTCCCGTCGCCATGAAACGACCGTTGGTTGGTTCTTTTCTTTCGCGCTTTACGAGGAGCTCCACGCCGAGGCCGTCAAGAGGCACATATCCTTCCAGGCGAGCTTGAGAAGCTCGCCATCCTCGACAAGCGCGAATCCTTCGCACGGGAACATCCCCAACAGCAAGCTCGCCTGCGCGGACGCATTTCCCCCGAGCGCCACCGCTCGAAAGCCCGCTCCCTGGAACTCCTCCCTCCAGCTCCCAAACTTCTCCTCGCCAGTCCGGGCCGGCCCCCCGACCGCCAGGATGTTCTTGATCTCGCACGAGAGTAGCTGCTGCTCCACGACGTGCCGCTCGGTGTTGTCCTCGGGCAGGCTCGCCCCCAGCGAGTCGAAGAGCGCCGAGTAGTAGTGTAGCGCCTCCACGAACCGGTGTAGAAACGAGCCCGAGTGGCTCAAGTCCTGCTCCACCGTGGTGATGATCTTGGGCCGGAGCTGGCGGAGGAGCGCCAGAGCTTTCACGTCGGAGCCAGTGATGTCGTAGAGCGAGTGGTGGAGGCAGTGCACGGCCAGAGCTTCGTTCCTGCGGACCCCCAGCTTGAGAGGATCCAAGTTCCCGATCTTGTCAGCCACGCCGTGGAACTCGAACGGGAGTCCCAGCGACGCTGCGAACTCGGACAGCCTCTTCCCGGTTTGCTCTAGAGTGTCCGAGCACGCTCCAAGGCCTGTGAGCCGGACTCTCGGCGGACCCCGGGGCCTGGAAGCGAGGATGTGGAACAGAGCCGGCCACTGTAGCCCCTGCATCACGTCCAAGTCGAGGATATGGACGCTGTCTTCGCCATCGAGAGCCTCGAGGATTGCCTGGTTTGCTGTGAAGTGCGAGAATTTCACCAGCGGGCAGAGCGAGTTGAACACCTGGAACGCTGCGATGGTGTTCTTGCTCGAGACTTTGTGCATCTCCGGAATGAGAGGCGCATACACTCCCAGGCACGAGTTCACCATCCGGGCGTTCATGGCTTCCGAGAAGTAGGCCGCCATCCTCTCCACCGAGTTCCCATACGGCGACGTGAGCTCGCTAAGTTGCGGGAGGAGAGCGTTGGCCTCTTCGAAGTTGTCCGCCGAGACCGCCTCGGCGCACTGAAGCAGAAGAGCCAGGAGCTGCAAGCCTTCGTCGTCCGAGGTAGCAGCAGCAGTGCTACTGCTCGGAGCCGCGACTGTTGGCGCAGGCGGCTTGATGACATTCCCTTGATCCTGTAAATTCCTGTGAAGCTCGAACTGGTTGGCAGCAGCAGCAGCTGAGAAATTTGTGTTCTCGGACGGTGAAGACGAGGACGAATCGAGAGAAAGCTTCAGAACGTCTGGCCTGAGAGCGTCTGTTGTCTGGATGTGAGCAGCACCAACCGACGACGAGGACGAGGTGAGCATCGAAATCTCCATGCTGCTGTTGTTTAACATCGAGGTGGATGGCTTGTCCAGGCCGTAGAGTTTCGACTTGATGACGCTCCCGACGTGAGGATTGCAGTGGGAGAGGTTCTCCAGGAGGAGCTGCATGATGTGTTCGATGGAAACTCCAGGCATGGTGTGGAGGAGATCGTTGGCTATCGAGTCAAGCCAGGCTGCAACAGAGCTTTGATCCATGCTTTGCACGTCTGCTGCTATGAGTGAGTTCTCGGACTGATGCTGCGGTTGTTGCCGAAGCTCCAGCGGCTCAGTGTTGGTGGTGGTGTTTTTCATCGTCCAGGGAGGACTAGAATTCCTGCTCGAGTCCTCCGCAAGGCCGGGAATTGGGGCCGACGTCGACGATGCCAAGAGAGAGCCACTCAAACTCCGGAGAGGTGGAAAGCTCGAAAATTCCCAGCATGCTTCAGTGCCATTGCCTTGCTGAAATCCCAATCCGGGACTTGCGAGCCACTTCATGGCAGTTGGAGATGGAGAGGCCATCAGACTGTCGCATAATCCCTTGGGACTTCCACTGGGTGTCCATCTCGGCGAACTCCCAAAGTCGAAGACGGATTGAGGCCCAACTTGTGCCAGAGGTGACTTCATCCTGCTGCTCAGCATACTTCTCGACTCACCTTCGATCAAACTCGCTGTGCTGCAACTGTATAGAGACTTGTCCGAGCTCACGTCCTGAGCCTCCGATTCCTCTTCCTCTTCTCCCTGTGGTGCAGAATCTCCATTATCTCCAAAGCCGTCATCCAAAACCACTATGGGTTCCTCTCCGTGATCGATTCTGCTAGATTGAACTGCTTGTGCCGGTACGTATCCCACCATAGCTGAGCTTTCGAAATGCTTTTTCTTTGTTCTTCCAGCAGGCACGGGCTACCGCCTACAGGCTCCGAACTTTAGAGACCTGTACTGGAGCTACGCTCCACCCAAGTATAGTATAGACGAGTTTTTGTCTCAGATTATGCTTTCGAGGCTCGGGTTTCCTGTAGCGATGATCTGCAAAGGGATAATGTTGGTTTAGTCATGCCGTCAAGGAGTCGATAGTGAAAATAAACAAGAGCACATTAGACGTACCGCATGATGGTTATGTTCCTCACATGGTCCGATTCTCTGTCCGAGTACGCGGGCACGGGAAAGACAACGTATATATGGTCGTATACTGGCCCTGGCTGAGCAGCGCGGGAAAAAAAATATATGTAGCTCTCTTTTAGATTGATCAGAGCTTGTCGACTTGTGCTTCGTGGATGCTAAACTTGAGACACGAAGATCATTGAGCGCGGGCATCAGCTAGCTTTGCCGTAGCTTCTGATGGACAGCAAGCAAGGAGTTCTAGAAGATTAAACATATAATACCACAACTTAGCTTACCTTAAGCTCGCTTCCCAGGACAAGAGATGGTAAGCCGTCTTTTCTGCTTTAGCAACAACACAGATGTCGCTTCAGTGGGACCTCCATCTCGATCTAAAAATCAGAATCTGATACCTTTCCTCTAGCGTGGCCGTGAACGCTTGTGTTCATACACGCTCCAGCCTTGTTTCGTCCGCGTCTGTTTCTCGGCAGTGGCCGGCAATAACGTGCGCATGTTCCAATGCCTGCATCACAAAGCACACACTTTTCTATAGGGAGGGAATAATTCAGCAACACTTTGTCACATACCATTTTTTCTATTCCAGCACATTGGAAGGGAGCCTGTTACCGTCCCCGCCTAAGGCTCCATCGCATAAAACGGGATTTCCTGTCACCAACAAGCCCAGCCAGAACAAAGGACAAGCGCGTATAAATTAGTGACAAAAGCACAAACTACCTCAGTCAATCCGTGTCAGACGACCGATCTTCACCACAGCTCCCGCGGAACACGGTGGAATCTACAGAAGACAGCAAGCAACAAGGCCATAACTACAAAAACCATCATCAGAAACAAATATTTCATCAGCAACTCGCTAAGATAAGAACAAAGACCAGCTCGGGGACAGAGAGCAGCAGCTTACCCAAGTAATAATCTGCGATGGGAATGTCAGAAATTCCTACAGCCTCGTGAACCAGGAAGAATAATTTTACCGAGAAATTCCTCAACTAAACTAAACGGGAATAGAAAAACCAGACAGAGGAAGGAGAAAAGACACATACTCGTTTTCGCAGATTGCCAGGAATCTCACAGATCCCTCCACCGTGTCACCATGTGGTAGTCTGTTAGCGACAGAGACAAGATCTAATTCGTCGGCCCTTTAGATACTGGGCACATGGTGTGCTCAGAACTTTCTCCAGGTACTGCTTTGGCTGCCTCCAAAACACGAAAGCCACTGTCAGGTTTGTACAAATCCTCTAAAAGAAACAAGCGTACCTTTCCAATTCACTCCATACACGAACCACTCTTGCTGCATGAAACCAGTAAGCAAAGTTTTCAGACTGAACTCTAGAACTTTTGAGATTTGTCTTCCAGTTTGGAACTGAACGAAAAACACTTTGAAAATCGACGGTGCAGTTTGCTGTGTTAATATATGCATTGAAAGCATGCTGTTGGTATACCTGTATCGAATCTCAAATAACCTCCGGAGCGCGTTTGAATTCAACAATGTACTTGTACACTGTTATAGGCTTGTCAAACATACTAGAAAAATCCATGTCGAGCTTTTCTCCAGGAACTTTATACATTGAGACGCGCTGCAATACCTGGGGTTCATAATATTTAATTGTCATCTGAGAGTTTTAGTACCTGCATTGCGGTGACTGAACTTTCGTCCGGATCCCATTTATATCTTGTTATGTTGCGACTGGCCTGTCATAAGGTTCCACGCCATTTTATCTCAGACCGAGCTAGAGAATGAATCACCTTAATTGAAGGCGGCCCGGGTTGATCACCCCTGTCAAATACCTGGGGACAATAAATGCATATTAACGGTGTCGACAAAGCAGGAATAGACGAGTCACCTGTTTCGAGTATTCGGATGTATCGAATTGACCAGCAGCTGACATTTCGAATGATCTTTTCGTAACAAGGTTCTCGATCTGCAAGAAACCTCACTGTGAAAAGTTTTCAGGACGACTATTACCTTCAAACCCCCGGACAACACCAAGTTCAATCGATTGGCGTGTTCTGGATCCCATGACTTTTGCTCAATAACGTTCTTGCCAACGGTAGCCTCCACCAAAGACTAGAAACGAACGCGTTAGCTTCCAGTCCAGCCAGTATGCTACTTACAGTGGTGGTGAAGAGGCGGTCTCCTATGATTTTTCCCTTGTAAGGCACAAACCGAGCTTGATATACCACCTTGCACGGTGTACTTCTCGTCAGTAAAATCACTCCAGACGATCAGAAATTACTCACAGTGAATCCAAGTTGCTTCCGAGAGGAATCAATGCTCCTTTTATCAGCCTTATCTTCGCCCTGGAGAGGAAAAAACGAACACGATCGAAAAAGATTAAATAAATCCTTAGTATAACACCTGAGGTGTCTCCACCGCTATCAGAGTAGAATAACAATTCCACAAGCCTTCAAAGAAACTGCGAAACAACCAGTGAGTAATGGACGAGAAGAAAAACGCAGCCTACTTTGGATAGTAGATATCTGGATCGCCAATCCCGAGAGTTCTAAGAAACGAATTTCCAGAAGTAGCCTCCTTTGCTGCTGTTCTAGCGGGAGCTATGAAAATCGAAACTGGAAGGGCCATAGAAAATCTTCTAGACAATACACGAGAATCTCTTTCGTGACACATGATCCTGCGACAAAACGGAACAAGAAAGAGAGAATCACCACAAACAACGATAACAGCCATGAAATCCAGACCTCTTGGATGCGAATGAGGCAGCGCCTGGAAAGAATGAAAACAATAAGAATGAGGAATCAGTCTCTAGCGATGGAAGCTGACCGAAATTTTGCCGCGGATGATGCTTGGATCTGGAATTCCTCCCTGCATTCTTCGCGGCGCCTCGATTGCATCCGCCAAAACCCGCCAAGCACAGCTCACACTCGTTCATTCTCCGAAGCCCTAGCTTGGCGGGAAAGCCAAGAGCCCTAATAGATAGAAAATGGGAAGGAAGAAGGAGAAGGCGATCTCTCCAGCGCCTAAGCGCCCTGGCGCGTCCTGGGGAGCTGGATCGCCAGCGTCCAAGCGCTCGGCATCGGCGAGGACGAGAGACGAAGGAATGGGGGATTTTGGAAGGTGTGTAGCCCTCGTTGTGTTGTATCTTCCAGGATTGCTTAAGGAGTTCTCGATTTTGTTCTAGGTACATGACGAACAAAGTGAGGAAGCTGGGAGAGCAGTTTCAAGCAGAGGCTTCGAATCCAGAGGCTCCCAGGTTTTGTCTTTCTTATTTTTTTCTATAGTTCTCTAGAACTTTAGCTTTGTCTAGAGGCAATGCCGATGAAAAATCGATAGAAGAGATCACGTCAAAGATTTTTGAAGGGATTTCGATACATGTGAATGGCTTCACCATTCCTTCTCATCAGGTGCTCTCTCTGGATTTTATTTTTCTCTTTAGATGAGTTCTCATTGTCTTGGATTTCTTTGGTTTTGGCAGGAGTTGCGGACTCTGATGCTGAGACATGGTGGAAATTTTGAGAATTATTTTTCGAAAACACGGGTAACGCATATAATCTGCTCCAACCTTCCGCAAAGCAAGATCAAAGAATTCAGGTTTGGAAATCATCGGTTTATACTGACTGATATGTTACATTTTAGAACTCCAGGTCTTTTAGCAAAGGATTACCAGTTCTGAAACCTGGTTGGATTGTGGATAGCATCGCGGTGGGAAAGCTTCTACCGTGTACGTTTTCTGACCATCTTGAATGGTTCTTAGTTTCGTTTTGTTGTTTGACAGGGGCGAGCTATCAGCTAGAGGCGATTTATTCGAATCAAAGTACTCTGTCTTCATTTTATGGAACCCTGAAGCTTCTTCAAGATGGAACGGAAAATGTTGAAGAGCAAGAACTTGTGGCAGAAGCGAAGGCAGACACTTCTCATCAGAATTTAGCCGGAGATGGTGCTGGAAAAGAAATCGAATACGATGAGCAAGATGAAGAGGGTGGTGCTGAAGAAGTAAATGTTGAAGACGGTCTTAGTGAGAACGAGTACATGGAACATCGCCGATCGCATTCAACACTAGATGATCCCAATTTTGTGCAGAACTATTTTAAGGTCAGCACTGGAGTTTTTTTCACTTCCTATCGAACATTTCTTTGCAGTATTCCCGGTTGCATTTTATTGGAACGTGGAGAAACAGATATCAAGCAACTGTACAGATGCAAAGAAGAGTGACACTTGATCCAGCTTTGGAGAAATCAATTATTCACGTGGACATGGTAATTGCTGGTGACATCTAGATGGGTTCAGTGACTGTTACGTTCACAGGATTGTTTCTTTGTTTCTGTCGTGACGAGGAATCGCCCGGAGTTAGATGGCAAGCCCGTCGGAGTGTGCCATTCGGACAGCTCCAAAGGAACTGGGGAAATCTCGTCGGCAAATTATGAAGCACGCACCTTTGGTATTCTTAGCTGCCATTTCCAATATTTTCTGAACTGGTATTTTCAGGTGTGAAGGCAGGCATGTTCGTTAAAACTGCTAAAAAGTGTTGTCCAAATCTGGAAATTGTATCTTACGATTTCGAAGGTTATGAACAGGTACAACGCTATTTATCCTGCGCCTCAAATCCTGCTATGCTTGTAGGTTGCAGATAAGCTATATGAAATATTGCATCGACATAGTCCACTGGTACAGGTATGCTTTCTCCAAATTGGAGATGAACTAGTTTAATCGCTTTCAGCAGGCTATCAGTTGTGACGAGGCCTATCTTGACGTAAGTGGGATGGGTGATCCTGCTTCAATAGCATCTGCAATAAGGCGGGAAATTTTCGAGGCAACAAGGTGCACTGCAAGTGCAGGAATTTCTGCCAATATTCTACTGGCTCGACTGGCGACCAAGAAAGCAAAACCGAACGGGCAGTTCCAGATACATCTCCAAGAGGTAATTACGTCTTTTATTTCGTAACATTCAGAGTTTTGCATTGGGCAGGCGGAGGAGTTCATGATGAACCTTCCAGTTGAGGAACTTCCCGGCGTTGGATGGGTACTGCGAGAAAAGTTGCACGCATTGAAGCTATTTACATGTTCGGATTTGCGGTTGTTGACAAGTGTAAGTTTGCTGTTCCTCTTGAAATTTCTCTTATCTCTACATTCAGGAAACTTTACGCAAGCATTTTGGCGCCAAAACTGGGGAGACACTGTACAATCACGCTCGTGGTATTGACCACCGTAAAGTGCAGGCTCCGCAGGTTTGTTCATTTTTAACTTTTGAAATGAATTTATCTGCTACTTTAGGAGAAAAAATCAATCGGAGCAGAGGTAAATTGGGGTGTTCGGTTTTCCACTCCGGCAGATGTAAGGTTTTATTTTTCTTAGTTTTTTCCTCTCAAAAGTAAGCATTACGCACTTTTATACAGGCTCAAAACTTCCTTGTTACTTTGAGTGAGGAAGTTGCATCTCGGTTAAGAAAAGCAGCAGTGCATGGGCGTACTTTTACAATGAAGGTATTGCATAGAGCTTCAAACCATCATTTTCTTTTCTTTTCTTTTTCCAGGTGAAAAAGCGAAAAACTGGAGCAGGCGAACCTGAGAAGTTCATGGGATGCGGCATTTGTGACAACATCAGCCGTTCTACCACAGTATTTTCTGTGCTCCAACTGGCTAAGTTTTAATGTGCGCTTTCGCAGCTCCCTTCTGGGACAAACTCGAGTGATGTCCTCTCGCGAATTTCTCGGCAGCTGTTTGGGTCGCTAAACCTTGGTAATTTGCATGAAGCTATTTCCGGAGATCTTAATTTTCATTGCAGACGTACGTGATGTACGTGGAGTCGGCTTACAAGTTACAAGGCTTGAAGATTTATCCAATGAGCAAGGTAATATTAGTTTCTAATAATTTTCGTCCAAAGTCTTTCAAATTTCAGGTGCTAAAGAGCAAACGCGTTTGGAGTCCTGGATTACTAATTCCCCTGACAAAAGATTGGAACAACGTACTGACTCTAAACCAGGTGTGTACTTTCTGAAAGCATAAAACCACTCATAATACTTAACCAGATAGAAGCATAGAGCCTGAGCTCCCCCCCGCTTCTGAAATCGATCCATGCTTCTTGGAATCACTTCCGCCAGAGCTATTTGATGAGCTTAACAACGCATACAAAGGCGCGCTTGCAAGTATAAAATTGTCAAAGGTTCGGGAAGGCGCCTGTTCAAAGACTGTACGTTTTGAGCTGATCTGTCTGTACTGCTAAAGTGAGTTTGCTTCTCCTTGAACAGGAAATAGAAGCTTCAAAAATGGAGAATAACAGGTAACACTTTGTTGACAAAGAATGTGAGATAACATTCAAATATACAGGAATTTGTTTCAGTGTGAACAAGACAGCACTGAATCTGATTCAAATCTTGGCAAAGCCGGAGACAAGAAAAATAGCGACGTGTTCGACGTCTGGGATACCTTGTCCCATTTCCAGACAAGCGAATCAAAGATGCTGCGGGATATGCACGACATTTATACGAGCGTAGACAGTCCGAAGCACTTGTCTCAAGTTTTGGTGGTTCTAAATGCTACGTCTCACTGCGATGAAGCCGACTCTGACGATTCCATCAGCATATGCTCCAAGTTTATAAGTCAGTATCTTCTGGCAATCCTCTATAGCGATCTAGAAGAGGTGTCGGCGGTCATCCGGCTTCTCAAAAGGTAAGTTCCTTCTTTTCTTTTGTATGTTGTTCATATGTCACTCCTGAACAGGCTCGCAACGAAATCGGATGGTTGGAATCGTGTTTGTGCTTGCGTATTGCCCACGACTCAGGTGCGCATTTGTAAGCTTTCTTCATTGTTGCACGACTATATGTTTTTCTTCCTGGTAGGACCAAGTCTTACAACTTTATGGCGGCTACCTGTAACGATCGAGGCTTTCGAAGTACAAGCTAACACTAATAACTCCCGGACGCTCAGCCACAAAGTCGTCTCAGCGGAATTCTATACATTTTCTTACTGATGCCTCGTAAGAACATCTTTTAAAATTTGCTCCAGCCTTGGCAAGTGAAGCCTTATGTTCTGGCCATCGAGGTAAATTCTCTTCCGCTCCGTCCATCCCTTCGCGGTGACCTCATCCGGATTGACTATCACAGTGTGATTGAGACCAAACTCGTCGCTCAAGGTACTCTCCGAAGGTAAAATCTGGTATCCCACGTAGTTTAACCCGGCTTTTTCTGCAGGTCTCCCAAAGCATGTCTCGGCTGGCCCGTTGAGTCCGAATGGTATAATCTGGATCAAGGTGGAACCGGGACGCATAAACAAAAAGTGTGTCAGAGCGGCCCCGTGAACACCAATGAGAACATCTGCCGAATGGAGGAGCGAGTAAATTTCCGAGAGCCGAGTGTTAAAATTGGGAGCAAACGTGTGAACTTCGTAGCCCAGCTTCTCCGCGAGCGCGATGGTCTCGTTTCTGTTGACGATCACTCTGCTGGTTTCCCGGTTGACGAGGACAAGCATCGGCTTCGTCTTTGGCAACACAACTTGGCCTGGATTGAGAGCGATATCGAGTAAGTTTTGGAAGCTCCTCATTGATGTTCCTGCTAATCCCTCTTCTATCAGCAGGTCGCCGTGGATTCTCAGACCAACTATGACTTTCGGAAAGCAGTGAACGAGCTGCTCGCGGTCGAAATCCACCACGGGGTAGTGCGTGAGGTGCTTGAGAATTGGGGCGTATTTTCCGGGCCACCAGTGCTTGAACTGGAGGACCATGAACACGACCTCGCCTTTAAACCTCTGTGCGGTGATGAAGAGCGGAACGAGACCATCGTTGAAGTCGTGGAAAATACTTCCGGTGTAACCCCCTGTGGAGAATATCACTGCCGGGACCGAGTGCCTCACATCACAAGCCATTTGCTTCGACTTCGGTAAGCTCACCATGTTTACTTCTCCGATGGTTTTCATCATCTTTTCCCATTTCCTTGTGTAAGGCCGGATCTTCGCCAGGACATTTGAATGCGCGCTTTGGTTGGCAGACGTCAGTGCGACTGTCAAGTTGCTGCCTTTCACTCGGACATCCCCCTGCAGGCTGCAGATACTCGTGCTAGGGTGCGAGAAATCGCAAGAGACGCTCTCTCTCGAGGCGAGCCCCTGCAAAGGCACCTGGACGACTTCAATTGCAATCCTCCACCGGGAAAAGCTGGGGGAAAACTTACAATACAGTCGGAGTTGGCGAGGATGACAGTTGCGAGGACTACAAAGGAAGCAGAGCAGGAGCCGAGCAGGACACACGTTGCAACGATGTTGTGGATCTTGGTCATCTTCTTGGGTATGATCTTGTTCTTCCAGAGATTGAGCCAGTGATGAATCCAGTGCAAATTCACTTCGAGCTTGCAGGCCTTGGCCATGTTTCCTCGCGCTGCTGCGCTGCCAGTGCCGCTTGCGAACAGCTGCTCCACTAAAGAGTTTCAAAAGAGAAAATTTTATGTGGCTACAGCAGATTCTGAAGCGACTCGCTACCGACTTGGCTGTCGATTAGTCCTCGCATGGAGGGACCATTGTGTGAGCTACGTGGAGCTCCATTTTCGGTAATAGTTTTCTCTCTCGCGCACTCTTGATACTAACAAAACCTCGCCACAGGAATACAAGAGCGGTAGCTACCGAGTCCACTTCAAGTTTGGTAAGTTTGTCACTCACGATCTTTGTGTAGTTGTCAACGTTTCACTTGTTAAATCGGTGAGCTACAGGAGAGAGCTGCGAGGAAAAATCATTGCTGGAGGTTCTCAAAGGCTTGATTGTCTTCTCTCTTTTCCTCCTTTAATAATTCTTTCTTTTTCACAGGAACTACGCATGGGGCGAGTGGTGGTGGGCGTGTATAAACTTTGACATCAGTGTTGTGTGGTGGAATGCCTTGCAAAGTTCCAATCATGCTACCGACACACAAGTGCTTTGCTTTATCATCGCTAGCGTCAGCTATGCCAAGGTATGTGCACTGTTTTATTTCATTTTGGCTCTCTAATAAGAATCTTATTAGCTGTATATGTGACAATGGCGATCAAGTTAACCTACTGAGAATCTTAAGAAGGCAACCACTTCTATAATTGAGTTCCTTTTTGTCTAATAGGCCAAATGATGTTGAGAGCACTGGTTTTTTATGTGATAATAGTCGGGATCAAAGCATCTATAGTGGACAAGGGAGAACAAGGTTTATTTGTAAGAGAAACTTTGGACTCAATTGTAAATGCCATATACGCTTTAATTGATGGTATTGGAACAGGGCCTATACAAAGAGGTCAAAATGCAGAAACAAGCATTATAATTGACGATCTCGAGCATGGAGAATTAGAGGTTGGGATTATGGTATGGATTTACAGTTACACTGAGAATAACTTTGCATTATGTTCAGCTAATCCTAGTAAACATCTAGATGATGGTGATGCAGTAAGGGAAGAATTGAGAGATTTATTAGATCATTATACACAACATATTTATAGTTATAGTGCATCTTTTATTACGATTGTCACTGAAAATTATGCTTTCCAATACATTGTGAGAAATTACTATAGTAGACATACACTAACTTATATTTATGACTATAAAAACATTTTATATGGCAAACAAGATTGTTATATATATTCAAGTACATTAATAAGTGGCTATTTTGACATGCCTCACCAATATTTATTAATGTCACATTTTCTTGTTTCTCCTAATCGTAAAGCACATCTTTATTTACATTCAAATTGTTATTTGGTATTATATATTGGCAATAATGAAGCGTGGTGGATTAAAAAGGAAAATATTAACTGTGTTTTAAGATTGCAAGCAGATGGAAATTTGGTATTATATTCAAATATTAATGTGGTTGTTTGGTCCCCTAATAAGTATTGCATACCCCAACCTAATTGCTATAAAAATACATATTTAAGTTTACAGGAAGATTGCAATTTAGTTTTATATACATCTCATAATAAAGTATTGTCTAAAACTCCCTCAATTGAGCCTCTGTGGGATTCTAAAACTAGGTGCTAAATTGAAACTTTTTACATTTCTTAATTTTTCACGTCCAAATAAAAATAAGATATTATTTCCAGCTTAATAATCCAAATCTAGAGTTTTGGTAGTCAAGCACAATTAAACACGTCTTTAGCAACCGGCCACACAAGAGACCAGCCGTGTATTGGGAGACATCCAGATTCCCAACCTTGTACCTCAAGAATAAGGCCTCCAGATTCTCGAAAACGAACCCTCCAAATTCAAGAGTTTGGATCTCTCCAGTGCCAGCCTGCGTACGTACGTGAAGACTAGAGAAATACGTGAAAACTTAAGAGCTCTTACCACAAGGCCTCCACCTCCACTGCTTGATTCCTTCACACTTCCACATTGCAAGCGCTCATCAATGCCTGGAAAATACTCTCGTGCTGCTCTTGCGTGGAGAATTACATCGGCTCCGCCAGCACCAGTGTCCAGTAGAAGTAGAACTTGACGGCCGTTGATTTTCGCTGGTACGTAAGGCAGGTTGTCCAGAAGAATCATCTCCTGAAAAACTTTACGTGCTTAGCTCGCATGTTTTCTCCATGATAGCAATGCAAAACATACCTGCCATTGTAGATTACTTGAGGGTACGTATGATGCCGGATCGAAAACGCACAGCAAGCCTTTGCTCACGGACATCTGTAGATGGATTTAAGAAACACAATGACCACAAACGACAAAATAAAAAAGGAAGGAAGATACATGCCTCAATGACGCAGTGGAAGAAAAGGTCGAAGCCGCAAACTCCAACAATCGCTTCGGCTGTTTCTCCGACGCCTCGGGCCGAAGTTTCAATGTAGATGGGGTTCACAATCTTCAAGCCACCTATCTGGAATTGTTTTCCTCTCACAAACCTGCTTCTTACCTGAGATGAAATGAAATTCAGTATGATAATGAAAGGACCCGACCGTGTCTCTTACCCGAGTTTCAACACCTAGCAAATGAACTTCTCCAAATCCTTCCATGCCAAGTTCTCTTGTCTAGAAAAGTTTGTGAGAGCTTATCAAAAGAGTTCAATCCTCAAAAACAAAATCTTTCATACCTTGTTAGCGTCGATCATAAGCCCACTGGCCCCTGTGTCCAAGAGGAAGTATCTGAAACCAGGACCACATTGAAATTAATAATCCATGCAAAGAAAAGGCATACTACCCAATATCCTGACCATCAACAAGTGGTCGAACCAAGCAGTGCCCACTTTCACATCCAAAGAGCTGCAAAACAACCAAAGTTTCCAATGAAGAGCTGTGGTTGTCAAAGAGAGAGCTTGCTAACCTTGACATTAGGAGACACCCCAGCGTCAAATTCTGCATGAGGATACACGCCGTCTCGAGGTAAGAAACGCGACGAAGGCAGTGCAAACACGGAACTATCTTCATTACTTCCAACTTTCGAACACGAGACGAAAATGGAATCGATAGAACCTGAGCTGGTGACATGGGCAACCGACAGAGGAACTTGGCACTTGCACTCAGGCTAGAAATGGCACCACATTAGTATCGTAGAATCCCAAACGAAGACGAGCAAAAAAGAGAGAGAAACCTCTAAAGTTTGCCAGTCCGAGTAGCCCCACGACTCTATTTCTCCGCAGACTTTAGCAACCAGCCGCGAAGGTAGAAAGGAGACACTGTCCACAACCACACTGGCCACCACCTAAGATCATAGGACCTGCAAAGTTAAGTAATTCATACTCCTCCTCTTCAAAGAAAGAAAGACACACGACTTGCCTTGTCAAACTCCTTTATCTTCACATCCAAAATTTGCATGCGAGGATTCACAGCAACCGGCAAGTCCCCAGCGTCGGTCCTGTGCTTGATGCTTAGTTTTTCCTGTCCTTCCGCCGTGAGCCAGTAGCCATTGCGGATCCAAGCGGTGAGCAAACAAAGCTACACAAGGTCATACTTACATCGTAAGTTGATAGAGCGTGAAAAGACAAGAAGAAAACTAACCTCGAGGCTATCAAGCTGGAGTTTCGTCACTCGACCAGCAAAATCAGCGTACCAAGTGTTTCTTCCATCGTGAGCCCATTCCACAGTGAAATGCTCGCCTTTAAATCTCTCATGGAAGCGACCATCCGCGCACCAAGTAAATTTGTAGTCGCCTTTCATATCCATAAACCATTGCTTCCCTACGTGAAAGAAAAATCGCTTTAGCCCAACCTTTGAGAATGAGAAGCCAAAATCCCGACAAAGAAAGAGCGCAAATTCTAGCGAAAACATCGAACGAACCTGTCATTGTGATGAATTTATCAGCGCATTCGCCCTCCACATTCTCAATCCCTAGAGCGTCCCTCATTCTTTCGATGCACTCCTCCACAGGGACCAAAATCCTCGCCGCCGCAGCGCAGAAGCCGCGAATCTCTCTCCTCCTGCTGCTGCGATGGCGATGGCCACAGCAAAACAAATCCCTCGCTCGCATTGCGCGCTCTCCCCTGGGATCAAACACACCGCTCGCGCAGACCATCGCCATGGAGCGATGGACGGCACAGATGCTATCTAGGGCTAAATCCAGAGCCGTCCGATGACGATTTTGGCGCTCCTTTATCCTTGAGGTTTTATATTGACTTTCATTGACTTAGGTTGACTGACTTGCACTGACGTTTTGAGCTCTTCGACACTCTTTCTTCCCAAGATCATGCGTGGTCTTTTGCGGCAATTGCCAAAAGTCCTCCGGCAAAAAAGATCTCGTCTCACTGGGATTGTGCTTCTTTTCGCTCCAGGAGCGCCTTCCTCTTTGCGTTGAGCGCGCTCCTCACGATCAGCGCGTCGTTTAACATCCCCGCCGCAGTGAAGACGCTGGCGAGAACCACGTACGGACCATCGTCCCGCGGTGACACCCACATCAGCCTCTCGCCCGACCGCACCGCTCGCTCCGTGTCGCGGTGCACCTCGCACGCTGCCAGCAGTGTCGACCACGCCACCGGATTGGGCACAAACGGCATCGCCTCGATCAGATCCTCGGCGAGATCCAGCCGCCCAGTCCGACACAGAAGCGTGATCACGCAGTGGTAGTGATCGCTCACCGGTCTGATGCTAAAGTCGGAGGACATGGAGACGAAGTGTGAGAGGCAGTCTTCTACCATTCCCGTGTGGCTGCAAGCGGCAAGAACACTCGTGTAGGCAATCTCGTTTGGTCGTACGCCATCCAAGCTCATGCTTTGGAAGAGATCGACGCAGCGGGAGTTATGCCCGGACTGGGCATACGCTGTCACCAAAACGTTCCAGGACGCCGTGTTTCTCTCTGGCATATCTGTGAAGAACTCCTTGGCTTCGATTTCGAGACCACTCTGTGCGTATGAAGCCACCATTGCGTTCATTGAGACAACGTTTTTGGATGGGATTTTGTTAAAAAGTGCTATAGCATCTTGGATATGCCCGTGTTGGGCATATCCTCCTACCATTGCGTTCCACGAAACCACATCTCTCTGGTCCATCTTATCAAATACGTTTTTAGCTTCTTCAATATCCTCGCATTGTAAAAACGCTGTGAGGATTGAGTTCCAGGCCACCACGTCCCACTGTGGCATTCTCTCAAACATTCCATTGGCTTCAAAGATATGCGCAGCTTGAGCATACGCCGCAAGCATTGTCGTCCACACCACAATGTCTCTCTTTGGCATCTGCCCAAACAGGACATTCGCTTCGTCAATCTGCCCATTTTGCGCATGCCCCTGGATCATGCTCGTCCAAAGCAGCAAGGACTTCTCTGGAGCCTCATCAAACAGCGCTCTTGCCTCCTTGCTCTTGTTACCCTGTGCGTTGAGAGCTTCGACCGCAACCGCCCACGACACCAAATCACACTGAGGCATTCTCTTAAAAACATCCAAAGCCTTGTCGAAATGCCAAGACTGGGTATACGCTGCTATCATGCTGTTGTAGGCGATCACATCTCTCTCCGGCATCGCGAGAAACATGAGTTCCATCTCGTCAAAGTGGCCGTGATGGCCTAGAGCACGAAACATAGTCGCCCAAGCCACTAAGTCCCAGCACGGAAACCTCGCAAACACCTCTCGGGCGTTTTCCAGATTGCGCCTCTCGGCATTTGCTTGCAAAAATGAAGTCCAAGCAATTACATCTTTCACTGGCATTTGATCAAAAAACCATTTGGCTCTCTGGAGTCTCCCATGCTGTGCGTGGGCTTTAAAGATAGTTGTCCATGAGACCACGTCCTTGCTCGGTATGGACGCAAATAGGGCATCAGCCTTAGAAAGATGCCCGGCTCGGGCATATCCCGCGAGGATAATGTTCCATGAGGCTGTGTTTTTGTTGACAACGGAATTAAGAAAATGCTGGGCTTCATCTAATTTTCCAGCGCTTACAAGCCTCTTAATCACAGCATTTGGTGATACATTGCAGGTGCTCCTTAGCATGCTTTTGAAAATGCCATGTCTATATGCTATTAATTAAACTAACTTATTCAGTTTTAAAGATTTAAAATTAAAGTCTGGATTAAAAGCAAGGTTAGAAGAAAACCAAGCAATATCTGGCATGAGAATCCATTTTCAAGTATGACCTGAGAATCCATTGGCTTGCCTACGTAATATATCACTCACGGAATCTCTCTAAGTCCCTACAAGACATATCAATCATGCACTGCTCGCTGTAACTTACAGGGAGCAGTGGCGTGATTGATATCTCTTGTAGGGGCTCGAGAGATCCTTGCAAACGAGTCTTGTCCTCGAGACTCAATCCTTGCCTTGTTTTGCCTGTGAGCGCCAATCACTCGGGTTAGCAATCGTTCCACCTCTGGCATGAGAATATCCTTCATTCTCTTGTTTACTCCGTGGAGATCCAGGGCCGCGAAGCAGTTTCTAATGTTGACGTTGAGTGTTTGCCTCTCGATTTGGGCTCCCAGATTCAAAGCTCTCTCCTCTGTCCTGCCAAAGAGAATCAGACAAAACGCATCCGAGGTAAGCTTGCCCACTGCCTCGGTAAGGTTGATGAGAGTGCACGGTCGCCAGAGCTTTGGATGGCTTTGATCGATTTTGCCATCTCTAGCGCATAGATCACCGCGGCACCATCCAGTCTCGTGTTGCTCATCAAGTGCCTGCTTGTGATTTGCTTGAGGAACTTCCAGGACTCACCATATGGAGCAAGAGCAATGTCTTTGAAGCCATAGCTGAAGTACTCTCCACTCAAACTTTATAGCTGGGCGATAGGCAACTCCAAATCGCGAGTGATCAAGGCCTCCCTGGCTATGGGAATCTTTGTTGATGACAATGTAGTCCACCACTCCCCCTCTCAGGTGGATGATCGGGCCATAGATCTTGCCAAGGCTTGCGAAATGGCGATGGAGTGGATATCTTAGAAAAAATGGATCCAACGATTGGCAGGGAGATCGGACCTGGTGGTAATTTTCTAAGACTTCTCACATTGCAAAGAATGGAGTATAGAGCAAGCAGTGCACAGCAAAGAAAAAGCAACATGGTGGAAGAAATCTGGGCCAAAGTGGCAAAGTCAAGGAAATTATCGCTGGAGTGATGTTTACAAAAAGTAATGATGCAGAGATTCAACTCTAAGAACTTGAGCGAGGCAAGGAAAGTCTATAAAGGAACAGGCAGGACTTGACTCTTGGAAAGTGATGCTCGAGATTTATGGGACTTCCACGTTCGAGATTTGATCAGATCAGTGACATTCTTTTGGCCAAGGAATGGGGATATTGATCCGTGATAGGATGGGATCCAGGCTTACGTGAAAAACTTGCTTTTGGAAAGAGCGATGGAAATGTTTAGAGAGATGCCATCACCGGATACTGTCTCTTACCAACCGTGATTGCCGCCTTTGCCACAGTGGGGGAAAGGCAGGACGCGAGATCATTGCGTTCCACCTCTCAGCCTCCAGCGTCGGCTCTATGCTTGCGGATCCAAGACGTGAGCAAACACAGCTACACAAAAAACAAGAAGAACAGCGAGCAAGCGTACCTCGAGGTTATCAGGCAACGGTTTCGTCAGCCATTCCACAGTGCAATGACATTGGCAGAAGTGGAAGAAGAAGAAGACGGTGGTGGTGGTGTGGCCGTGAGTGCCGGCGCCGCGGGCAGTGGAAGAACTAAGACTCCCCTCGTCCTGCGCTTCTTCTTGGCGTTTAAATCTACTTCCAAAGAAAGAAGAAATATCACTTTAGCCCAACGGTTTTCGATCACTCTAACACTTCTGACGAGGAATCCAGTGACTTGGAATGCGCTGATAGCCGGCTACAGCCGGCATGGCGACACCGAGAAGGTGTTCCAGCGGATACTAGACAAGGGATACCAAAAACTAGCGAAATGAATATAACTTTCTCGTGCTGACTGTGGCCGGGGTTGAAACACATTCTTGTTCCCCTGCACCTGGAAGCTCGTCACGGTCATGTACTCCCGGTACCGCTCTCGATGTGGATCACGTACCTCCGCGCGCTCGTGGGGCTGATCGCGTCCAAATTGTCCCCACGGCGTGCGCGCCGTTGACCAGGCCACGGTCAGCTTGTCGATGCAAGAAGGAAAAATCCGCCAAAGTCATTGTGATGAATTTATCAGCGCATTCGCCCTCCACATTCTGGATCCCTAGCGCATTCTCTCGACGCACTCCTCCACAGGAACCAGAATCCTCGGCGGGGCAACGCAAAAGCCGCGAATCTCCCTCCTCCTGCTCCTCTCATGGCGAAACGGATCGCACAGATGCAATCATCCAGAGCCATTAAATCTTGGACGTGCTTGAGAGGATGACATGTGGTGTCATTCACGGCCTTGATCCAGGTCTACGCGAGAAGAGGAGGGATGGAGAAAGAAAAGGAACGCCATCTCTACAACATATGATTCCAAATTTTGCTTTCGGGATGCCACTGTTTCCGAGAGTCTCAATCCTCGGCAACTTTGACCTATACGTCCGCCTGACTCTTTGATCAATGTAGCAGTCAATTCTATCTTACGCTCTTTGGCCGTAATTAAGATTTCTAATATGTTTTTGTTTTTCTTGTTTTTTTAAATTCAAGTGATCGTTCATTTGGCAAATTGAAGCTATGGACAAACTCAAGAAGAACGGCACAAGTATTTTCTAGCGTCATTGTTTCTTCCTTGTTTCTAGGATCAAAACCGAGTGTACTTCCGAGATGCAATTAAAAGTTTACTTTTTAGTCGATTTTCTGAATCTCACAATCGTTTTTATATGAATAGAAAGTAAAGACCTTGATTCTCAGCTATTCAAGTTCTTCTGCTGCTCAGAAACTTATGCTTGTTTTACGAAATTTTTATAGCCGTTAAGCTGCTCGTCGATCTTTTCTCCAAGTTTTAGATTTTTAGACTTAAAAAATCGCTGCTTTTTTACTTTTCAAGCTGCTGCGCCTCTGCTTAAAAAAAGCCACTGCTCTTTCTGCCACTCTGCTTTCTAAATTTCAAGCTGCTGCCCCTGCTTGCTTTAAGAAAGTTTTTTAGTCTTTGCTTCTGCTTCCTGTGTCCCCCAAGTTTTAGATTTTCGAACCTACTATCGAACTTGCTCAATCCAATGACAATTGTTCAGTCCCACTTGCTTCGATCTCTGACCTCTTACAGTTTCGCTGCTTCAAGTCCTAATTGCTCCACCTTGATTTGCTTTCTGTGATAGTCTTCTGGATCTCCGAAGTTTTTAACATACAAGGAGCGAGATGTTTTACTCTCGATTACAGCGGCCACTCCTAAGATGGTGAACAGACTATTTTCTAATAGAGTAGAAAACTTGAAGTTTTTTACTTACTAGTGGGCCAGAATAAGCAGCTCCTCAGCATAGTCTCCGGGATGTTTTATTTATTTAGTCTCGCAGATTACCTCGCAGACAAAAAACGCGGCCTCCTACGAAGTTGGAGCTCAGAAGATTTCCAGCAGAGCAGAAAAACAACAAGAAAATACCACAAAGTGTGTGTCGCTGTAGGCCTTGAGAGCTTGCTTCTGCTGTTTAACAACACGGATGAAAAAAATGGAAGAGGACGACTCTACGTACCCTCGGTTCAGATTGCTCGATTGTAAAGGTGGCCATTGCCTACTGTTGCTTCGTGTTAGCGCTCCAGCAGATAAAAAATACCCACGTCAGAGGCAAACATCCGGTGAATCCGCACCACTGGCTCCAAGCAGCTTCATCGAGATCGAGATCGAGATCATTCCTTGATGATATAGTATCACCCAAGTACGATCCTGGACAGCGTTGAGCTCTCGTCACGTTTCCGTCAATTACTCAGCATCCCATCTTTTGCTCCATGCCAAAGTTTGATGGACTGCCAGAGCTCGGCTGGCCGACTGCTCCGCCTGGAGCGCCGCTTTCGACTTCTTGTGCTGCTCCATCGTCTTGGATACCTCCGAAACTTTGGAGTCAAGTGAGAATTTCTCCTCGAGAGGGTTGGTCTTCGCTTGACTTAAGCTGGTAGCTCAAACTTGGTGCTTTGGAGGCCTGCTACTGTTTCCCTGTGCTGCTCGACCTGCTCGGAGATTTCGATATACTCCCAAGTTTTCCTGCATTTGACGGCCTCAAGCTGACCAACCCTTGCAGCCGGTTTCTCGAGCTCATTTCTCGTTCCTTCGACGTGCTTAGAACCTCTCGGACAGTTTGTTCGTGTTCTCTTCTCAGGGAATCGGCTTATTCTTCCGCCACTTCAGGCCTAGGCATCGGAGCTTCGTGCTGAGAACCTCGAGTGGAAGGACGCATGGACAGAGCTTGAGGAGAGGCATGCGAAGCCAGATGGCCTGGTAAACTCTGCAACAGCTTCTGCGTTCGATGACTCCTCTAAAACTAGTCCTTTCGTCTTAAAGTTCGCTCCAGCAGATACCAGACTGCACGTCAGAGGCGAACAGCAGCAGTCCTGTGAATCCTTCCAATCGCTCCACCGTCACAAGCAGCGTCATCAAGATAATCTTCTTGCCATCATCATCTTCTTGAGTTCCCTTGCAGCAACCTGCCACTGAGTTCCTTGCTGATACTATCATCCGAGCAGCTGTACGAGCATTCCTGGACAGGGTTGGAGTTTCAAAGTCTCCGCTCTAGCAAATGACAGAGAACGTCGAGCGTAGTCTGTCTTATAGTCTCCGCAGCATCTCTCTGAATCCGATATCCCCCACCGTCACGAGCAGCTTCAGCTAGATCATATTCTCGCCATCTTGCATCGTTCCTCGCTGAAGCTGTGGACAGCCTTGGAGCATTATACCGCAGCAGCACCTCCTGAATCATCTCCGTCGACTGGGAAGCTGATCAGATAGACCCCAGACAAGTCCAACTTTATAGTCGTTGAACACCAGCCTCCTTAGGTGCTTGACTGGAGAGCTTTGACCAGAGTGCAAGCTCGATTCTTGAGTTTCCTTGCAGCAATCTCGTCTTGATCCCTTCCTAAGCTGCATCCTCGTTCTCGCCATCATCTCTTCTTGAGTTTCACTCGGAGCTGCTCAACTGGCCGGGGATGTTGCTTGCAGTGGCATACATCCCAGCTTGCGTACTCTGATTGAAGAGGAAGCTCTCCAGCAAAGAGCAGTGATTCTCGAGCAGTGACAAAACACCGTCCACTCCTGTTTCCAGTCTCGTTTCCAGTCTTGTATTCTCGTCGTTCCTTGCTGATAATCCTCCGACCATGTTGAGAGAAACCATGACCACAACCATCCCTTCCCTCGACATTGGCTTCCGCGAGCGAAGTCACCCCAGCTCTCTACAACAAACACGGGAGTTATTGGCAAACCGCCCGAATCCAAAAACTAACGAAAAGAAAAGCTTGCCTGTCTTCTCCAGAATTCTCGGACGAAGTCGTCTCCCGCGCGATCACAGATCTCCTTGGCCACTTTCACAAACACCATTTTGCCGGATTTGCTCTTCCTCCACGGCTTCGATTCTTCAGGGATTTTATCCAACTCCCTCTGAATCCTCCGCGCTCTCTGGATCCTTACGCTGTCGCTAGATTTTCCGTTCAGTTCTTCGTACGTCAACTCGGCGAGCCTGATCAGAAGCTCCAATGCGCGGCAGCTCCAGGTGGCCCCCTCCTCGACCTCAACCACGTCCTCGTCCCTGACCTCGTCGTCGATCTTCTGGCTGCTCTCCTTCCTCTTTAGCTCTCTCGACGCCTCGTGAAGAGCTTCCAGGCGCCGGAACTCCAGAAAGCCCCCTCGCCCATCCTGGAGATGGCACTCAGTCGGCTGCTGCGTGCCGTCGGGGAGAATGATCTGCGCTGATGGAGAGAAGCGAACAGTCTTGGGCCTGGAACCTGGAAGTCCGAGAGACAGTGGTTAAGTCACGGAAGAAAGGACGAGAAAGAGACAAACCAGACCGGCTGGCTTGATTGGCTGCTCCTTTTGCTTGTTTTCTGGCTCTTGATCCTTGGTTGGCTGCTCCTTATTTTGTGATGAAACCTAATGAAAGTAAGACATTATACCTAAAAAAGAACAAATAAAAAGTTTTATTTCTACTAAATTCAATGTCATATAACAGTTTCAAAAAGCAAATTGGTGGCAGAAGTATGTGTGCTTGGTAACAAGATGCAGCTCAACTGCAAACATGAACAAAATTGACTTTGCATTTTCCTGCATGACATAAAGCATAAGTTTTAAGGAGAATGATAGGCACTTACCTTGTGAATTCAATGCTCTTGAAGTTTTGTTATGTCAGGAAGTTTGCATGTCAAGAATGGCACATCTAGGGTAAACATCTAAACATTCACCAACAAAGAAAACGCATAAAGACTATTTACTTACTATAGCTACCGTCTCATTTCTTTGTGAAAAGTTTTCGGAGGTCAGATGGTATCTGGTAGTTGGTTTGATCAGCACTCTCAAGCTGGAAGCATTCTGGAACAAGTCCCTGGAGCTGGTTTCTACTCACGTCTAGATACTTGAGAGATGAGAGTGTGTAAACATCTTCCGGGATAGACTGCCAAGAAATGTGGATTAGACTAAACGAACGCATTAAAGTGAAATAGATTTAGTAAGGGTTAGGGCATTAAAGGCATTTTGCAAAGGGCAAGCTATGGCGCGAACAGAGCAGGAGCGCAGTGGATGCGTCACAGGTTTGTGGTCTCTCTTTCGACCAAAAAAGGCGCACAAGGGCGACAACAAGGTCCACCCGGAAGCCATGGACGCGGCGGCCTCGAAGCTGAAGGTCCAAGATCGTGTCTGTGAGGCCGTCTCGGGAGAAGCCATGGACGCCGCCGCCTTGAAGTTGAAGGAACTCAGGCACGAGGTGAAAATCGTCTTAGAAGCGATACGACAGGAGCGAGGGCACAAGGAGCCGATCAAGCCGATCAAGCCGGAACAAGAGAAAGAGGACGAAGAGGAGAATCAAGAGAAGAAAGCGGAGCAGCTGAAGGAAGAGAAGACAGCCGAGCAGGTGAACGAGGAGGAGAAAGAAGCCGATCAGATGAAGCCGATGAAGCTGGAACAAGAGGAGGAAAAGGAAGCCGAGAAGCAGCTGAAGGAGGAGGAGCAAGAGAAGAAAGCTGAGCAGCTGAGCGAGGAGGAGCAGGAGAAAGAAGCCGATGAGACGAAGGAACTCAGGCGCGAGGTGAAACAGGAGCAAGGTCACAAGGAGCAGCCGCAGCTGGAACGAGAGGAGAAGAATCAGCCGAATCAGCCGATCAAGCCAATCAAGCCGATGAAGCAAGAGCAGGAACAGGAGGAGGAGCAGCGGATGAAGCCGATGAAGCAGCAGCTGGAACAAGAGGAGGAGCAGATGATCAAGCCGATCAAGCAGCCTCTGGAACGGGAAGACGATCAAGAGCAGATGAAGCAGCAGGAGAATGACAAGCCCAAGCAGGAGGAGCAGCGACCCAAGCCAATTCTACTGCCAGCCGGGGGTCGTCGTCCAGGTATGGTTCCTTTTGCTTCTCGCATTCTTCTTCTACTGTGACTCACGATGGCCTTCTGGACTTGCAGGTTCCAGGCCGAAGATGGTTCGCTTCTCTTCCTCAGCGGAGGACATTCTTCCCGACGGCACCCGACGGCGGAGTGAAACCCATCTTAGCGATGGCCGAGGGGGCTATGTTGAGTTCGCGTATCTCGAAGCTTTCCACAAGGCAAACCGGTGGCTAAACCAGAGGGGAAAAACCGAGAAGAAGATCCGCAGCTTGGAAGAGGAAAAGCGCGAGGAAACAGAAGAGGAGAAGCACGAGGAAAAGTCTTGGAGTGTTAGCGCGCTCCGGATTCTGATCAGACTCACCGAGCAGCTTTACGAGGAGCTCAACGGCAAATCCAGCGACCGAGAGAGGATCAAGCGAGCGCGGAAGATGATGAGGCTCCAGAAAATGCTGGATAGGATCCCGAGTGAGAGGAAACCGTGGAAGAAGCTTCAGTCCGGCGAGGTGGTCTTCGTGAAGGAGGCAAAAGAACTATATGATCGTGCGGGGAGAGATTTTGTTGCCGAATTCAAGAGGAGACAGGTAAGTTTGATATACCTTCCAGATTCCAGATGGCCGTTTGCTAATAACTTCCGTGTTTGTTGTAGAGAGCTGGAGTGAACGATGATTGTTTGTTTTGTCCGAACCATGATGGCGAGAAGATGATCGGCCGGGCTGGGGTGAACTCTAAGACGACTAGACCCTGGGTTTACCTGAGAAGAGAACACGAGCAAACTGTTCTAAGCACGTCAAAGAAACGAGAAATGAAGTTGGCTCCGAGCTCGAGAAGTTGGCTGCAAGGATTGGTCAACTGGAGGCCAGTGCTCGGACTCTAGCATCGGAGAAGCCAACTCTCAAGAGTCAAATCCAGAAGTTGGATCTCCAAGCAAGTTGAGCAGCACACAGGTCACTAAAGCTATAGACCATCGACCTTCTCGAGAACTCGACTCCAAAGGTTCGCAGCTGTCCGAGACGTAAAAGTGGTGGGTGACGACCGTGTCTCGGGGCTCGAGGCGGAGAAGTCCATCACACTTTGGGCCTCTAAACAGGCCAGCGACCAGCCTCCACACTCTTCTAAGTCAAGAGAAGATCAATGGATCAAATTGGACTACACTCTACAGTGTCTGGAGCAAGGAGGGATCTATCTTATCAGCTTTCCAGTGGACGGAGATGATTCAGGAGCGTCTGCTACGGTAAGGCTGTCCATGATAGTAGTGAGGAACGACGTAAACCAGTGCCAGATGGCTGCAAAATGTGGAGAAGACAATATTGCTGAAGCTGATCGTGACTAAGGAGAAGCCCCAGGGGATAATGGCTGATGGAGTCGAATCCGCTGCACGAGATGTGGAGCTCTCGGCGAGGAGCACGTCGAGAAGAGGATGGCGGAGTTTGGAAGCTCAAAGGTGAGCCTGGAGAAGCAAGTAACTGGCAGCTGATGGAGAGGATCACGGGGCTCGAGGTGCTGGAGGAGAGAGAGACGTGCCAGATTGAACGAGGAGCTCTGAAGGATGAAGAAGACAAGCCGAGGAGAACCAATGAGAGAGCACATGAAGTGCCGAGCTCCAGAGGTCAGATGGACGCTACATGCGACAATAAGGAGCATCTGGCTTTGCAGGGAGCTGTGTTTTTGCGTGGTTCCGCTCGAGCTTCTCAGCACGATCAAGGCCTGAAGTGGCGGAAGCATTCCCTAACTGTCAGAGGTTTTAAGCACGTCGAAGAAACGAGAATGGAAGTTCGAGAAGTAACCAGCTCTCGAGAGTCAAATCCAGAACAGAGGTGCAAGCCAAGTATATTGAAATCTCTGGCAGCTCGAGCAGCACAGGGAAGCAGTAGCAAGCCTCCAAAGCACCAGAGACTAGTCTCCACACTCTTCTAAGCCAAGAGAAGATCAACCTCTTCTAGGAGATATGCTCCTCGACTCCAAAGTTTTGGAGCTGTCCAAGACGGTGGCCGAGATGAAGCAGCCCAAGCTGTCGAAAGTGGCGGGCTCTGGCATGGAGCAGAGTCCATCAAACGTTGGCGTGAGAACAGCGAGATGAAGGAGAAGATGAGATGCCGAGACGGATCAAGATAAAGCTCTCTAGTTGACGGAAACGGGACGAGAGCTTCAATGCTGTCCAGGATCGCTCTTACAGGTGCTTGGATGATAGAAGATGATGATGGCAAGATGATCTCGAACTCGAAGAAGCTGCTTGTGGCGGTGGAGCCAGAGGGTCGGATTCACAAAGACTGAAAAACGGCTGATGTTCACCTCTGACATGTGGAGACTACAAGAGCTGGAGCGAACTCCAAGATGAAGCAACAGTCATAAAGACAGAAGATCGGACGAGTTTCATGGAACGTGGAAGCTGGTGCAAAGGTTACTAGGCAATTCAGAGGTTCAATGGCCACCTTTACAATCGAGCAATCTTGACCGAGGGTACGTAGAGTCATTTGTTTCCATTCATTTTATCCCAGGAGAAGCAAGCTACAGTGACACACAAATTGTGATGGTAGCTCCTTTAGTATCAGCAACAAATCCTATGGTATTTTTTTTGTTTTTTCTTTTCTGCTCTGGTGGAATATCTTCTGCGGTCCAACTTGGTCCAGATCGTAGGAGGCCGTCTTCGAGACTAAATAAATAAAACATCTCAGAGACTACGCTAAGGAGCTGGTTATTCTGGCCAACTTGTGAGTATAACCTTGAGAGATTATGTTTGTTTTCTATTTAGAAAATAGTCTGACTTTGGTCCAGATCATAGGAGGCCGCCAGAAGAATATGTAAATGAGGGTGGAGCAGGACTTGAAGCAGCGAAAGATAAAGCCAGCGTCAGAGATCATAAGAATTGTGGAAGGGAAAAGCGTAAGTTGATTTTAAAACTTGGAGACAAAGGGAGCAGGCTGAAACAGCTAAGATCGAGCAGCAAAGATTGAGCAGCTTAAAGACGAAAAATTTCTTAAACCAAGCAGGGACAGCAGCTTGAAAAATTGAAGTATTAATTTCGCCCAGCACCAGCTTCAAAAAGCAAAGAGGCAGCAGCTAAAGAGCAGTGACAAGTTTGATCAAGCAGAGCAGCAGAATAGTTGATAGTTTTTTTTCATATCATTTTCTTTGATTTAGCTGTAAAATGGATTTAATGTTCAAATTTATAATGTTTCAATCTCTGAAAGGTCCGAGATCCGACTTTGATCCTAGCAACAAGATGATACCTAGAGCACACTAGGGCTTGGCGGCGCGGCCGCTTGGCAAGGCATCCCCCAAAAAACTCGTGAACTTTACCATGTAGGCCGAGTATTTGCAATGTCTAGACTTGAGGATCTTCTTGTACGTTCGCAAGGATTCCTGATAAGTTTGTCCTCGTAACTTGATTAGAAAATGGAAAAGCAAATCCAGCTCAGGAAAATAAGATTCTTACGTAGTTTGGATAGGGAAGGTGTTCAACTTTCTAGGCACCCAAAGAGTCTGAGAACACGACACCACGTTAGAGCAAGAACTCAGGAGCTAATATGTACGCACCTCCAGTTGTTCCATATGGTATAAAGCCATTTGACTTGGTCTAGAAGGTTCTGAAAAGGCTTGCCCAGTCAAGTTTTACCTCCTTCCAGACTGTCAAAGTCGTTACCATTGTATGGGAAAAAACTAAATTTCTGCACGTTGCGATCAATAAAACTTGTAAGATTGCTGTACATGAGCATCAAAGAAAGCTTCAAATCATAAACGAGAGTCTAAAGGCCATTGCGTTCGTAACAATTGGTGAGAGCCTTCACCTCTGCAATTTCTTGCACTTAGTTTGATAGATAGATCAGCAATGCAACTTTTTACCAACACATAAGCACTCTTTTAGATACACTTGTCTTATTTTGGTTATTATAAATAAAAGTTCATACTAAATACTGATTAAATTGAGAATTCTCCATATTTTGTAATCCAAGTAGAAATTTGATTATTAATTGACTCCTTTTACTCTTTACATTTAGCCTTTGACATTTTTCTTTATTTAGTTTTTATGTTGCAAGTATATTATTTATGGGTTCTACAAGAATGCTAATATTTAAAGAAATTGTTATTTGTAATAAAGTTTTATTACTTTCACTATTATGTTATTTTTGAGAAAATATTATAAGTTAATATATATTTAGTTACAGACACAATATAAAGGTATTCTTAAAACATAACACCAGACTTTTTTACAACTACTAAATTTTTACAATTGCATTAGCTGATGATAATATATATTTTATCTAAAAAACATTTAAATGATGATATTTTAAAATTCTCAACATATCAATTAATTTTAAATTTTTTATAGTAAGTTGTACAATAAAATTAGTAAAAATTTACATAACTTAAATAAATAAAAATTAATTTGAATATATCTAATACTTAACTTTGTTACCTTGAAATTGTAAAATTTATGTAAGTATTAAATTAATCTATTTAGATAAAAGCTTAAATGTTTTGGCCAAATATTTATTTTGGTATATATATTATTATTATAACATTGAAAAATGATGAATTATTATAAAATTATAATTAAAATATTAAAATGACTTAAATTTGTTAAAATTAAAAGTTAACAAAGCTATTTTTATTATCCAGAATTGCCATTTGTTTTCATACCATGGAAGTTGTCAACTTATGTAAATAAGGTATCTGAAAAAATAATAGTGTGCTACAGATACACCATAAATATCCTTGAGTAGTAGAATATGTAAAATACTGACTCAATGTGAATTATGCTGAGAGCTACAAGTCATTGTATACTAACAAGGAATTTATAAGCAACCAAAGGAAACAACTTGAGAATAAATTTTTAGAGTTTTGAAATAAAAGGGAAAAACATATAAATAAAATTGCACTAATTTTTCAATCAATTAAAGGTGTTGAGATATTATGGAGTTATCTGAGTACTACTGGGATGAATGACTTGTGAAAAAGTATATATTTAGGAGCTTACAAAATTTAGATTTTAAAATAGAAATAACTTTCCAAATATATTTTATTAAAATGGAAAATAATAAAATATAATTTCAATAAAATATATAATTTCATTTTGTGAGGGCCAAGTGTACGGCTACGATGCCGTATACTAATATTAGCGTAGTGGATTTTGGTAGCCGTCAGATTGGTTTCAATCCGGACCACTCGCTCCTGTATATAAGCTAGGGTTTTTGGGCTAATTGATATGCACATTTCTGTATTCCTCACATTGGTGGAGGTGAGGGGCACTTTTGATTGTCCCTGGGGAGTGCTTGGATTTGGGATTTCAGTTTAGATCTAGCTTTTGCATTGTCTAGATCTAGCTTTTTCCATTTCCTTTCTTTTGTTCTTTCCTTTCAGGATTTTGGTTTAGATCTAGCTTTTTGCATTGTCTAGATCTACCATTTCTTTCCAGCTTTTTGTCATTTCTCTTCTTTTGCTCTTTCTTTTTCATTCATTTTCATGGCCGATCCGCAATCTCCTCCTTTGACTCTAGAGCAGCAGTTGGTTCAATTGCTTGATGCTATGCGCTTGCAATTGAACAACCAAACTCAGTTGATGGCGGCGTTCACGGCACATGGTACAACTCCTCCTGCTTTTGGTGCCAATCCTCGCGTTCGGCCGGAGTTCTTTCGTGGGAATCCTGGGGATGATGTGTACCATTGGTTTGATCACTTCACGGTGATTGCCACATATCATTCTTGGGATGATGCTCGACGTTTGCGTGAGTTCCCCACATGTCTCCAAGGGACGGCATTGCAGTGGTACAATGGATTGAGCGCAGCTACTCGTGGCGATTGGGGTGTTCTTCCAGACGTCTTCAAACGCGCCTTCGGACATGCCGACAATTGTGATGATGCCTTCCAACAATTGCATCGTCTTCGCCAAGGGCCATCTGAGTCGGTGATGCAATTTGGCGTTCGTTTCCGAAGTCTTTTGCTTCGTGCGGAGCCAAATATGTCGGAGCGGATCAAGCTAGGAATGCTGTGGCCAGCGCTTCGTCAAGATCTTGTCGGACTTGTGCATGCACTTGCTCCTACCACTCTTGACGATGCTCTTCGCTTGGCACAACGTTATGAAACGTCGCCTCTTCCACTTCTTGCTACACGTCCTTCAGCTCCACTTCCTATGAGTGATGGTCCTGTTCCCATGGAGGTTGATGCTGCTGCTACTCGAGTCCAAAGACAAGGGCGAGGACGTGGTCGTGGCCGTGACGTTCGTTGTTGGGCGTGTGATGAAGTTGGTCATACTTATCGGCGTTGTCGGCGCTTTCCGGATTGGCGACCTCCATTTCCTGGGTGGAGACCTTGGCGTCAGCAACGTCCCGTTGGT